AAGCTCACGCTTATGCGTCATCTTCGTTTTCGTGGTTGTCGGCGAGGGAAATCTGCCCGCTTTCGAGACCTTCCATGAGCGCCTTCAACTGCTCTTCCGTCGCGTGCTCTTCCGAGAGGATGCCTGAGCTCTCGGCGCCGCGGTTCACATAAAAGTCACGGAGCTCTTCGTTGTCTTCGTCCAAGGCCGCATCGAGCGGCTACATCGCATCAAAGAGCATGAGCACATTAGAGTTCATGCGAGCAGAAAAGAAGTACCGTGCGGCCATCGGCGTTCTTGACGTTCAGATCGGCGCCAGCATCGAGAAGGAGCTCCGCCACTTCGACGCTTTCGCAAAAGTGCAACGGCGTCTCGTCATCGTTGTCGCCGAGAGAGACCTTGGCGCCTTGTGCCAGGAGGTACGCGACAAGCTCGGTCTGGTTGTAGCTCACGGCAGCCTGCCTACGAGCGACTATCAGACGACGGCGGCAGAAAAGCGGCGGACGTACAGAGGGGTGTAGCCGTTCTCGTCCTGCGCGTCAACGGAGACCCCGGCAGCAAGGTACGCCTTGACAGCGTCCATGTCGCCATCGCTCGCGGAGACCCAAATGTTTTTCTCGGTCATGCTTCTTGTGCTCTGCGACGATGTGACGATGGCAAGTTTGTTGGCTGAATTGGCATAGAGCCTGTCCATAAGTCGTCGCCATATACATGAACCATTTATGCGCTGAAAACACCGAAACAATATGGCGTCTTTGTATGCCGTGTCGTGTACGCATCGAACCCCATAATTTATCAGGATATATTTGTGTTTTTCTAGTGATGGCAAGTCTCGACCCGTATATTACCGCATATTGATAGCTTGTGGCACACACGCTATCTAAATATGGATGACTATGAACACTGATTTGGAGGAGTGTGCTGGCTGCAAGCAACGTAATCCATATACAAATACAATATGGTCACAACTGTGGCGCCAAATGCAATTGCTGACGCAAGCGACGTGGTCGTCCGATCATTGGTAGCTGCCATCCGCCTGGCAGTTTAAAAACATGGGCAAGCTCAAGAGAAAGCTTTGGTCGTGTAGTTGGACGGTGCTTCCCGTGTACTGCCTTTGTCATACCACAGCGAAGTGTCTCTCGAGCATGCGCCGGCAGCTATTCTATTCCAAAATACTAGTGCGGGAGAGGTAAAACCGCTGATTGTCTTGCAGAACGAACCCTGCGCGATCAACCTATGCGCTCGGCAACGAGACTGCCGGGCCCAACACACTCACAGAGTTTATGAAAGGTGATTTCAGCGCCAAAACGCGATACTGCTGGTATCCTCGTTGGGAGACGACATTAGGCAACCTCGCTGGCACTGTGCACGCGATGTTGCAAGAGGCAACTCTCGTAGTAGCGGGGGACCAGCTCGACGTGGGCGGCGTGGTAGCGCTTTTTCCTGTACCTTCCAGCCCGAAAATGGTCCACGGTGTTTTGGTCACCTTGCTCATCAAAATGGGGACATTGTCTCGTTCCTGTGCTTTCGCCCCAAATGAAGCGTCCGCCCGAGGTGAAAGCTACAACATCAACTTTTGGATACTGTAGCTCAAGCCCCGGCGCTTGCTGCGAGCCGTGGACGCGGGGACCACATAGTTAATAGGTCTCCAAGAACGCCCGCCAAGGGAACATGGTATACGTAGTAGAATGCAGTACGAGCAATGTCCCAAACTCCTCACATCAATTTTCTTATAGCGCTGTGACCCTCCACGCGAGTTGATGCAACGCCGTGCGACTGACAGTGAACGCGTGCCGGTGGAAAGCGTCAACACTACAAACGGTTTAAACTGCCTCAACGCGAAGTCGCAGCGCGTTCTCGACTAGTGTGTCGATGTGACCACCATAGTATCTAAGCGATAGGTAACGCGCGATTCGCGGGTGACTTTTGTCGAAACAATTGTCACACGCAACATAGTTGGCAAAGTTTCCTTGGTGGCTTTCTCGCCTCGACGTGGCACGGGTGAGCTCCATCAAATAGACGCAATGTTTGGTCTTGGGCTCCTGCTCAGCGAAAATCGCTGCTATTGAGTCGACATTCGCGTCGACACTGAATATTGCGCCATGTACATGTACGTTCTTGTCAGGACGATGTTCGCCGAATTGGCCTTCGAAAGATACGCTGCGGCTTGATTGGTGAATGTCTCGAGGAAGGAACCAATCAGCAACTGGCATGACTTTCGCAACAGTCGCGCCACCATTCTCAAATGGGCAGCCAAGCGAGCACACCAGCGGGCGCGGCGCCAAGCCTTCGGCGCGCGGCTAGTCTCAAGAAGATGATCATGTTCATGAAGGACCCTCGCACGGCGATGATGGACTGCCGCGACCACTACGGCGATGTCTTCCTCATGGAGAGCAGCTTGGTGAACGAAAAGATCATGGGCTTCTGCGGTCCCGAAGCGCTGCTCGCCTACGACACGCAAGTCAAAGAAGGCAAAATCGTACGCGCTAGCGCTTTCCCAACCGGTATCCTCGAACTCCTCGGCGCCGTGGTCTCCACGCTTGATGATGATGCCCATGCCAAGCGGAAAGCCGCGCTCCTTGTCGCCTTTACACCCGAGAAGCTGGACGCATACAAGCCCAAGATCCGGGAGATCATCCAGCACGACCATGCAGCATGGGCAGCCCGCGGCGGATCCCTGTCGCTCGCCCTCAGCTGCAAGAAAATGGTCTTTCACGTCTTCATGGCAACACTTCTTGGCCTCGAAAATGTCGACGACGAGTACCGGGAGCTCGTCGAGGCGTTTGTCTCGTCCATTCGCAAGTCGGCACGGAAGCCGGATACCACCGGCATGGATGCGCGCACCCAAGTCGTAGAAGAACTCATTCGACCAGCAGTCCGCGAAGCCAAGGCCCGCGTTGCTGCTCAGAAGCCGCTGCCGACTGTTGTCGAGGTCCTTGTCGCCGACGGCCGCTTATCGGACGAGGAACTCAACCTCGAGCTCTTCCACGCGCTTTTTGCAGGTCTCGGTGGGGTAACGTGTCTGGTCATTAACGCCGTCACTGCCTGCATTGAGCTGCCAGCCATCCGCGAGAAGGTCAGCGCCGCCCGCGAAGCGTTCCTGGCCAAGTACCCGAATGAAGACGACCGGTGGAGTCACTTTGCAGACCTTGGATACATGCATCACTTCATTCTCGAAGTCAAGCGGTTTTATGTGGCCGGTCCGACGCAACTCTACGGACGCGCAACGGACGATCTCGAGATTTCCACAGCCAACGGCTCGTTCAAGGTGCCCAAGGGCTGCTTGGCGACCGCGGGCCTCGAGGTCACGAGCAAGCACCCGGACGTGTGGAGTGACCCGCACACATTTAACCCCGATCGGTTTGCGCCGCAGGACGCCAGCACCACGCCGGTCGACCCCGATGCGTTCAAGGATGGGGCGCGCGACGTGACGGCGCCGGACATGATGTACAAGTTTTGTCCGCACTCGATCGGCATTGCCCGCCGCTGCGCGGGCGAGGGGCTCACGACGCTCGTGCTTCAGTGCTTTGTTGTATCGCTCTTCGACTTCATCTGGCAGATGGTGCCTGGCCAAAACTACCAACTCGAAGAAAAATCGTCAACGCCAACCCCCATCGGACAGCTCATGGCCGTCGGGTTTCACCGACGGACACTTGACGATGTTGTAACTTTTGGTACGGCGGGCTCGGACGAAGACTGGCACTTTTTGAGCCTTCCACAAGCGAAAGAGCTCGTTGGAAGTGGCACCGCCGACCTCTATGACGATGCGCGCATGGATCTGTGGACGCGCCTCATGATCAAGTTGATTGGGAAGAAGCAGGCGACGTGGGACCGACCATTCGTCGAGAGCTGCCTCACGATCCCCAAGCACCAAAAAGTGTTGCCCAAGCTCACGCTGATCCAAACCAGCATCGAGATTCCCACGGAGGACGAAGACTGGCCCAAACAACCGTGGCTTGAGATCAAGCAGTCCAACTTTCTACGCGACCACGCGCCATTTATCGATGACTTCAAGCATACGTGGCTGCCCGGCGAGGACATGGAGCGCTACGTCATGAGCAAGCTCGGCCACATGTGGCCCCGCGTCAACGTCCACTGGAACGACCGGTACTCGGACCGCGCGCTCGAGCTCTTGGCTTTCAACGGTCTCGGCCAGCACCTCCTCATGAAGCTCCCGGAAGCTCACGACGACGGCTCGTACTACGGCATTTGCCTCGACTTTATGAACGTACTCGAGGTCCGTCCTGGGTACGCCAAGTATGGCGCAGACGCGTATTTTACCGCCAAGGGCAAGGTCACCAAGATCATCCGCGGTGGCGTTACGAGTCGCCCCGGGGAAGACGGCTGGGAGTACGCCAAACTGTGCTTCCGTGGCAGTCTCCAGACCAAGGTCACGGCGGTGGACCATCTCTTGGGGATCCACGCGACGGTCGCCAACTACATGGTCACTTCTATTCGCGAGCAATTGCCGCCGGCGCACCCGGTTCGTCGTTTGCTCAAACCCTTCACGTTCCGCTCCGTCGCCATTAACTTTGGCGCGGGCCGATCGCTCTTTTGGCCCAAGGGCATGCTTCAGCGTGCCTATGCACTGACGGACAAGGGCATGAAGCAGACGTGGGAGTATGGCCTCGCCAACTTCAAGTACGAGACGTTTCCGGAGCGCAAGGCACGTCAGAGCATTGACACGGTGACGCTGCCGTTCCACGAGGACGGAATCGAGTACTGGCAGATTTGTCGCACCTTTGCCAACGACTATGTCGACCTCTACTACAAGAGCGAGGACGCCACCTCGGCGGACGCCGACCTCAAGCGCTTCTGGACGTTCCTCGATGAGAAGCTGCCGTTCACGATGCGCCCTCTCAACCTCGAAAACCTCAAGGACTTCCTTGCCCATGGTATTTTTCTCGTCTCGTCGATGCACAACCACCTCGGCACGATCGCCGAGTACGTGTCGGACCCGGCCTTCTGCCCCTCGGCGTGGGTTGAAGGCGAGCTTGCGGGGCGTCCCGGCACTGGAGTCCGTCTCGCTCTCATCATGACAGCGACTGGGTTCACTCAACCAGACATTACGGAAGACTTTTCGCACCTTATGCTCGACGACGCAGCCAAGGCTGTCTGCAAAGCGTTCACGGCCGCTGTCATCGCTCAGATCGCGGTTGTCGACGCCCGCAACGCCACGCGCGTGCAGCCGTTCCAGTCGTTCAACCCCAAGACGATGGAGATGGCCGTGAGCATCTAGCTGTACCATGACGGTTGCTTATCATGAAGCGTGCATACTTTCTACATATAAAGCCCTTGTATGTCGCAACACATCGTTGACCCAACTTGCTCGTCTCGATCACACTGTTACCATAATAGCGGCAGGGCTGCATTAAGCATCAGAGTGGTGTTGGCTACAAGAAAATTCAACCTTGTCGTGAAGAGACTGATAGCTTCAAGCCCCAGGGCGAGGAGGCATTGCCTTCGATATTTCACACATCCACGAAAACGAGCCAATCAGACAGCGGCAATTAATTCGGGCCTATCACAATGCGTCTGTTTGCTGATCTTCGATCTTTGCGATCACAGGCGTCACGCCACGTCACAGGCTGATAAGACGCACGCCATCGACTTCTGACACGAGGCCTCGTTGATCGCATGGTCAAGGAACCCGTCGTCTGCTTTCGTAGCTGGTGATAGAGCTGCCAACTACATGAAACTCCCCTTGTGGCTTGGTTTGCATCTATCATCCCAGCTGCGCCTTGCAGGCAACGGTAATTCACACGCACCCGCCATCCACCGGAATCTCAAAGCTACTGCGGCTTCGAAATATACAGGTTCAACCTGGACCCATGAGTACAAAATGCTATCCAACCGGTGTTCCTTCACGATCCCTGAATTTCCTGCGACACCTGTGACTCGAGAGAAGCTCCGGAGCGACGGCTGCAAGCACGCCTTGAGCCTCCTCACGCTTCGTCTGCCGATCCTCCATGCACCAACAGCGTTGCTGTTGATCATTGGGGTATCTCCGCCCGTCGGTGGCGCCATTCCCAGTCGCAGCTGATAGCGTACAGTACATCCCCACGCGATCTTTTCGCGACGCCAACCATCTCTCGTGTCATTTTCCAATTGCCGGCCTCAGCAGCATGGGCAACCTCACCAGCACTGGCGCGACGCACGGCGACGTGCACATGGACAAGATGGTCATGTACCTCGACGGCGATCGGTCGGCCATGATGGACGGCGATCTCTTCGTGCTCGAGAAGGCGCTCGCCACCGAGAAGGTTGTCGGCTTCTGCGGCCCCGAAGCGCTCAAGGTTTTTGACGCCAACTTGCGCGATGGGACGTTTGTCCGCCACGGCGCTTTGCCCAGCGGCCTCAACGAGCTTCTCGGTGCCGTGCTCCCGACGACGGACGGCGATGCCCACGCTCGCAAGAAGAAATTGGTGCTCGCGGCGTTCAGCGGTGCGCAACTCGCAGCCTACAAGCCGCTCATTCGGACGACGATCCAGAACGAGCATGCCAAATGGGCTGCTCACGGCGCGTCCATGTCCCTCGTCGCGAACGCCAAGGTCCTCGTGTTCAAGCTCTCTCTGCTTTTGATCCTCGGCCTCGAAGACAACTACGACAACTCTCGTGAGCTCCTTGACACGTACATGCTCGCGCTGCGCAACTCGGTGCGCCGTGCCGACCCCGCAGGCGTTCGTAGCCGCGACGAGCTCATCCGGACGATGATCAACCCAGCGCTGGCGACGAGCCATGACCGTGTGCACACGGGCAAGCCCAAGCCATGCGCGCTCGACCATCTCGTCGCTGCTGGCGTCCTCAGCGACGACGACCTTCGCGCGGAGCTCTTCCACCTGCTCTGCATGAGCCTCGGCGGACTTGAGTGCTGGGTCGCCAACTGCATCACCGCGGCGGCCAGCAGTACGGATGTCCTCGCGCAGCTCACAGCTGGGCGGGACGCGTTCATTACCAAGTACCCTGCCGAAGCCGATCGGTGGAGCCACTTGGGCGACCTCGGCTACGTCAACAACTACATCCAGGAGGTCAAACGCACGTACGTAGCGGGCCCGAGCCACATGTACGCGCGCGCGACGAAGGACACGGACGTGCGCACGTCGGAGGGAACGTTTCACGTGCCCAAGGGCTGCCTCGTGGCGGCTGCACTCGACGGCACCAACAAGCACCCGTCCGTGTGGGCCAACCCGACCAAGTTCGACCCGTCGCGCTTCAGCACCGCCAAGGTCGACATGGCGTTCGGTTTTTGCCCGCACGCGATCGGCGCGGACCGTCGGTGCGCGGGGGAAGAGCTCTCGACGCTGATTCTGCAGAGCTTCATGGTGTCGCTCTTTGACTTTATGTGGAAGATGCTACCGCACCAAGACTACACCCTCGACACGACACTCGTCAACCCGATGCCCAAGGGCGGGCTCATGGTCGTCGGCTTCCACCGGCGCACGGACCTCTCGGCGAGCATGGTCGAGGTCGCGGGCAGCGAGGAAGACTGGAAGTTCCTCTCGCTCCCCGAAGCCAAGGTCTACCGCGACGACAAGGAGGCGCTTCACGACATGTTTGCGGACGAGCGCCTCGACCTCTGGACGCACCTCATGCTCAAGCTCCTCGCGAAGAAGCAGTCCATGTGGAACAAGCCGTTCGCCAACCAGGCCATTACCGCGCCCAAGTACCAAAAGACGCTGCCCAAGATCACGCTCTACGGCCTCAAAATCCAAATCCCGACCGAGGACGAAGACTGGCCGTCCGACCCTTGGAACGAGGTCGCCACGGTCAAGTTCCTCCGCGACTCGTGCCCGCTCGGTGACGACTTTGAGCACACGTGGCTGCCAGGCGAGGACATGGAGCGCTACGTCATGAGCAAGGTCGGCAGCATGTGGCCGCGCGTCAACGTTCACTGGAACGACCGGTACTCGGACCGCGCGCTTGAACTCCTCGTGTTCAACGGCCTCGGCCAGCACCTCGTCACGAAGCTCCGGACCGCGCACGATGACGGCTCGTACTACGGTATCTGCCTCGACTTTATGCAAGCGCTGGACGTGCGTCCCGGCTACGCCAAGTACGGCGCTGATGCGTACTTCAACGCCAAGGGCAAGGTCACCAAGATCGTCCGTCTCGGCAAGACGGTGCACCCGGGCGACGAGGACTGGGAGTACGCCAAGCTTTGCTTCCGCGGCAGTCTCCAGACCAAGGTCACGGCGCTGGACCATCTCTTGGGCATCCACATCACGGTCGCCAACGGCCTCGTGACGTCGACGCGCGAGCAGTTGCCGCCAACGCACCCGCTGCGCCGCCTCCTCAAGCCGTTTACGTTCCGCTCGGTCATCATCAACTACAACGCGTCGTACGCGCTCTTTTGGCCCAAGGGTATGCTGCACCGCGCGTTCTCGCTGAGCGTCGAGGGTATGCAGCAGACGTGGGAGCTCGGCCTGGCCAACTTCAAGTACGAGACGTTCCCGGAGCACAAGGCGCGTCAGAACATCGACACGACGACGCTGCCGTACCACGAAGATGGCATGGACTTTTGGCTCATCGTGCGCGGCTTCGTGGGCAGCTACATCGACCTCTACTACCCGTGCGATGAGAGCTTGACGCAGGACACGGCCGTCCAGGCTTTCTGGAGCTACCTCAAGACGACGCTGCCGCCCAACTCGATCCGTCCGCTCAGCAAGGACAACATCAAGGACTTTGTGGCGCACGCCATCTTCCTCGTCTCGTCGATGCACAACCACCTCGGCACGATCGCCGAGTACGTCTCGGACCCGGCCTTTTGCCCCTCGGCTTGGGTTGAAGGCGAGCTTGCGGGGCGTCCTGGTCCGTGCGTCCGCGGCGCCCTCATCATGGCGGCCACCGGCTTTGTGCAGCCATCGATCAAGGAGGACTTTTCGCACATCATGCTCGACGACGCTGCCAAGGCCGTCTGCCGCAAGTTCACGGCCGACGTCTGCGCGTACGCGGCGGTGGTCGAGGGCCGCAACACGAAGCGCCAGCACCCGTACCAGGCGTTCAACCCCAACACGATGGAGATGGCCGTGAGCATCTAAACCATTCAGAGTCGGCAAGTGTAATGACATGCATTCTTTTTGACATTTGCATCTTGTGTGAATGACACCTCATCTTTGTTGC